GTTAAGATTGTTTAGAAATCCTTTATGCCAATGTCTGTCAAGGACCTGTCTCTGGTAAGAGACATAGACTAGGATTTAAGACCACTCCATCGTTCCCATTAGTGGTAAGCGGGAGAATACTTCTAGGATCACTGGTAAGGTGGAAGACAGGCTCCTAGGACAGAAAATGATATTCCTACAGGAACCATCACCATTGAATTGAAAGCAAACTGATTAATGTAATTACTTTAACTCCATTCTGTTTTTTCAAGTATAATTTATACTACACTGGGTAAATGCCTATTTGCAAATTATTCAAAGATTCCTCCCCAGCACTGTAGGATTCCCTAACACCAAATGCAAAAAACATTTCTTCTATTGCACTGCCAGCCCTCCTCCTAAAACATTCCTTTCTCCTGTCCAAATACCAGCCTAGTCCAATGCACTCCAGCTCTGTCCTGCAAAAAAGCATTTCTGTACACCTCTTTATTTTAGCTAATATCTGCTTTTCTACATAAGTATTACTGGGTTTGCTGTTTTCTTTTTTTTTTTTAATTACCTGGCTGGGAGGGCGGGAAGGTAGGAAGGATGGTAAAGGAAGATGATCTCCCTCTTTTCTGAGCGAGAGTTGTATCTGAAAGGATAAGAGACTGAAATTATTATTTGTTTGGAGGAAAAGAAAAGATTAATTTTAAGATTAGCCAATTTGATGTCATGCCTTCATTGGCAGTAGAATAAATTATTATCTGCTAGCTACCAGCTTTCTGAAGTAGACTGTTAGGTTATATCTACAGTGCTGAATCAGAGAGGTCTCTCAGGCCAAGTGGCCTGGCTCAGGCACACTGCTTACATCTAGTCCACTCTGTAACAGCTCTGTTTTGGAGACCACCAGCTGGAGAGGTTCGAAACAGAACCAGGGAGTGAGCTATCAGTTAAGCAGCGTAGACAATCAAGAGGCCAAACACTGAAGCTTCCTCCTGCACCCTGCTTGATTTTTTGGTATAGGCATACCCTAAAACTTCTACCATATCTATGATTTTCTGTGTATGATCTCAGTACAATTTTCAGAGTAAACCAAACTTAGCTTATCTTAAATCCTCTTAGCTACATTCAGGTATGTCACAGGACTAGATAAAACAAGATATAGTGTACGCATACGAATACCTGAATTCAGAAATAACTTTCTGGTCTCATCCGTATGCTAAATAAACACTGTAAAAAACAGATCAGTCCTTCTGTGCAGTAGCCTCAGTGACT